CCTGCTGTTCTTATTCATGGAAAGACTGAGAATGTCAGTATTTTGTTTCTCAGTATGCCAGTTTTTCCTGATCACAAGTAGTTTTGCAAGAGTTTTTAATCCTTAGCTTACCCTTGGAAACGAAGCTGAGTTTTATCATTCCTTGCAATGCAATGAGGGGCGAATTTAAGGTTTTTCCTTGTTAAACATTTTCGAGAAGTGAGTGACCCTTTCACAATTCTAAGGGAGCATTTTCTACCTTGGTATTCTATACATACTAATACATTTCTAGCTTTCCCAAGACCGTTGCATTAGTTTCCTGTTGGTATATGTAATTCCGTATTGCATTTTTGGCAACCCTCTGTCTCATAAAAAAAGCTGTTGCGCTTTCTTCTGCCTCGCCCACTGGTTCCACCAGTGGACCCAGATCATGATTTGGGAGGATGACTGTGTAATTAAAACCTCTGTCAGTGGACTCATAGGAATCAGTAAATTATTATTAAACAAACACACTTTTAAAGATCCTTGCAGAAATATCGTATTTCAGCAATAACCCAAAGCCATTCATTTTATTAATGGCCATAGGTGTCCCTTTGTGCGCTCTCTGCATGCTGACAGAACACTCCTGCCCTTAACACTGGGGTGATTTCCGATAGACCCTGTAAGACTGATACTGCTGCAGTTCCTGTCTGATCTGCTGCAGAGGTTGTGAATTTAACATAGGAAGCACAATCTGCAGCAGAGGTTGTGAATTTAACATAGGAAACACTGATTTGTATCTTACTAAAACAGCTGCACCCTGCTTTATAACGAGTGTTTACCTGCTTTCATTTGACTTGATGTGCCTATTTCTATACTTCTGAAAAGTTGCCACCCCCTCCACTGCTATGGTAGTGCTCTGAACCTTGGCAGATTTTTCATGGTTAGGGGGCAAGGCAGGGATACACACTGATTCCTGGCTTTTTTAGAAGGACTGGTGAATGGTATACTCTTTCTTTCTTTTAAAAGTTTTTAGTGGGATGAAAGGGAATGTCTTTCATTTTCATTCTTCTTTCTTTTTTTTTTTTTTTTAGGCTTTTTGGATAGGGTACACTCATTCACAAGGAAAAGACAGAGAGAAAATAAGTGAGAAATAAGGCCTTGGAAGGATGGCCACACTGCAATCCCTTCTTTTCCACTCTCCTCACTCTCCTCTTAGGATTTTGGGTGCACACATACCTATTGTGATTTTTAAGCCCCCGGGTCCAGAGTTCAAACCCTCGTTGGCCCTGTGGGAGTTCAGTGCTTTAACTACCTTGCCAAGTGCTGGCCCCAGGTCCTATTGTTTTGTCCCGTTTGCCTGAGCACTCCCATGCTCCCTCAATGCTCCCTCAGTGTTTATATTGACCTTCTTCTATGTGCCAAGTACTGCTCTTGACATTACAGTTATTGAAGTAAAAAATAAACAAATCTCTCATCAAGCTTATTTTTATTGAGAGGCAATGAACAAACTGAGTATATAAAATTTATAGGTTATTCAATGGTGACAAATAATATGGAGCCAAAGAAGGCAGGAGGAGTAGGGGAGAGGAGTACATTTGAGAAGGGAAAGCGGGGCAAAGTATTT